TATATATTTATTTATGGTTTGTGTATAGGTGTCCCCCCAAATCCTCATGCAGTCTTGGAGCAACTTCAGGAGTTTGTGATTAATTACTGTGGGTGTGGATGCTGCACCTGCCCTGGGGCAGGTAATTTGCATTACAATGTAAGGTGGGAAGAGAAGCCAGCTGCTTGAGCTGCTGGTACCCCTCCCTTGTACTCTTGCTCTTTGCCACTGCCATGAAAGGTTGCTTTCTGCTCCGTGATGCTCTGCCTTAGACCCAGATGAGTATGGACTGAAACATCCAGTAACTGTGAGCTAAATAAACCTTTCCTTCCTTCATTTTGAGTGTCGGGTATTTGCCCCAGCAATGAGAAAAGAGGAACTAAGACAGAATTTGGTACCAAGAGTGGAGTTGTTGCTGTGGCTAAACCTGATCATGTGGATTACAAGATTTTGGGACTAGCTCATGGGAAGAGATAGGAAAGATTTGGAGATGTCGTCTACACGCGAAGCACTGGAACAGCTTTGGCTGTTCTGTATGGGAGATTCTGGTCAGAGCTCAGAAGACCAGAAGGTTGATAGAAAGCTGGCCTGTAAAGACCAGGCTGGGGAAGTTTCTGCTGGGAAAAAAGACAGCATTGGTTGTTGGACTCCAGATCATTTGTGTTTTGACTTGGCAGAGAAGTTGTCTGCATTTTGCTCATGTCCAGAGACCTTGCCTGAGACTGAGTTTAAGCATGGTGAACTGATCAATCTGGCAAAAGATATTTCAAAGCAGCCAAATATTGGGGCAGTGGCCTGGTTGTTGCTGGGGGCTTTTAGCCAGATTTATGTTGAGAATAAAGAGCAAGGAGCCCAGCAGGAGGATTTAAAATGTTGTCAGCTTGGCCAGAAGGAAAGTGCCAAGAAAGCTGTAGACTGCAACGATGGAGCAGAGAGGATCTCCATTGCTGGGAAGGAACCTGAGAATGGAAGGGATGGCCTGAGGGCATCACAGGAGGAGGCACATCTCCACCCTTTGCTGCCTCAGAGCTGCAAAGGTCAGGGACTTTGCCTTGAAGGGAAAGCCACTGAGCCCCATGTTCCAGAATGGCAGTGGCGGCCACACCAGGTTCCAGAATGGCACCGGCATGGAGAAATTATTTCTCCAAATCAGGGTCAGAGTGCCCAGCCATCCAGGCACTCGACCCCTACAGCCAAGAGAGAAGGAAACCTGGCCACTGCTCCAGCTGGCAGCAGACCTTGGCATCATCCATGTGGCACACGTTTTAGGCGCATTCAGAATGCAGGAGTTCTGAGGTTAAGAAGGCTTCCACCTAGATTTCAGAAGAAGGCCTGGGAGGCCAGGCGGTGTGCCCCTGGGAGGGCAATGTGTGAAGCAGAGAGTGAGAAGCCTATTCAGTGGAAACCCCAGAAGTTTGGAAGAGCCAGGAACGTGGATCATCTAAGGAAAACTGCAAGGAGGGAGCAAAGCCAGCCTAAGAGAGATGCCATGGGAGCTACCATGAGTGCCATAGGGGCAGAGCTACATGGAGCTCACAGCTCCTCACAGATTGCTTGGGATGTCCCACATGGAACTGCAGGACTTAATGCTTGCCCTGCTGGATTTTGGACTTGTGTTGGTCCCAATGCTTGGTATCCTGCTGTGTGTACCTTTTGGATTGGTAATGTTTATCTTGTGCCATTGAATGTTGGATGTGTTTAACTTTTTTTTTGTACAGGGGCTCACAGTTAAGAGTTTGCCTTGGATCTTGGAGGAGACTTGGGACTTGGACTTTTCAGCAATACTGAGACTGTTGGGATTTTGGCAACTCTTAGAGATGGACTAAAATGTCTTTTGCACAAAGGGATGTGCATGAGACTTTGGGGGTCCAGGGGT